TCAGCTTTTTGTTCTCTGCCATCTGTGTGAAAACCTAATTGAAAGCAGAAGAGAATTGCCCAAAGGAGTAATTTAAACTTAATTCTGTGGCACTAAATCTGTGCTAAGAGCAACTTCTTCAGAGAGAAGGACGGAAATTCATACATAGGTGAAGAGGGAAGAGAAGAGGTAGGTTGACTTTAAGTTAATCGACCTTCAACTGAATTGCAGTTTCCAAAAAGAAAAAACACAGCTTGCCAAAATGTGATGGTTTTGTACTAAGGAAAGTTCAGTATTGCAAGGTCTGTAGAGTGCATAGTGTTCTAGATTAAATAGTAATAATTATTAAACTATCTTGATATTAGGTTCAAAAACACAAAATGGAAAGATATTAAAGTTGGTGATATCATTCGTCTGAAGAAAAATACTTTCGTTCCTGTAAGTGCTTTAGATATATTTGTTTTCTGTTTGTACAGTATTCTGTACAGATCTTGACTTGGATTTATTCGATGCTGATTTATTTGTTTCTCTAGGCTGATATTTTGCTGCTGTCCAGCTCGGAACCAAACAGCCTCTGCTATGTAGAGACAGCTGAACTAGATGGGTAAGGCTCTCTTTAAGGATTTCTTGGATTTAATTTTGGCTTACTGGTGAACGAGCGAGAAGTGTGTATTTCAGATTCTACTTGTCGCTTATTAAGCCGCACCTGGAAAGGTGTGTCCAGCTTTTGCTTCCCACAATTCAAGGGTCATTAAAAATGGATGAGGGTCCACTGAAGCACCAGAAAGGTGTCTGAAGTGTTGGAGAGCATGGCATAGGAAGAAAGGGTGAAGTACTTGGGTTTATTCAGTGTGGAGAAGAAAAGGGTGATTTAATCGGTCTTCCAGTAGCTGAAGACAGTTAGGAGGAGAGGCACACTGGCGGGGCAGGAAGCAATGGATACGAGTCGCTTTAGAGGCAATTCTGTCTGCACTGAGAGCAGTTGTTCTCATGGTTGGTAATTTTTAGCCTTGGAACAGGTTGCCCAGGGAAGTGGTGGAATTCCTCTCACTGGAAAGTGAAGCTTGTCTTGACAGGCCTCTGGATAACCTTGTCTAACATCCTGCTTCAGACAGGAGGTTGGACTGTTGATTACCAGATCCAGCCTGGACTTTTCTTATTCCCTGTCAGTGGGAAAACAAATACACATATTTTTCTGTGGAAGTTTTTCATAGAAACTGCTTAGATAGCATAAATCTTACTGTCTCTGTCATCTTGCTTTGTAAATGTTGTTTTAGTTCATGTTGTCTGAAAAGCTAGTGCTGAGTTCTTCTAGAGAAGTCCATAATCATACGGGCTCACCTAATGAGGTGGAATGTTAGTTTTTCCGAACAAGCAGTGTGTTCCTCAGTCTTTAGTCATCTTGAAAAGGATGACTTACAACGCCATGCAAAACAAGGATCTGCTTGTGTTGCAAAAGTTCCTCTGTTGGAGGCTTTAGCAGTATCAATTATTAAATATTGCTTTCAAATAGCCATTACTTCAGACTTAATTACTGCATTAGTAAAACAGTGATTCTGAGAAGCTTCACTTACCTACAGCGAGCGGAGGTAAAGGGGTAAGAGTTCACTTGTGAAAGAAAGGAGCCGGTGTAAGAACTAGTCATGTGGTTCATGGATGCTTCATGTCCGTGCAAGTGCACGGCTTTGCCATGGCTTCCAAGTAGGAGGTCGGTACCTGCGGCACATGGGTTTGCTTAGTTTAATTTTGTTCAGACTTCTCTCCTGTATCCATGTTTTTAATAAAATGACCTTTCTGTCCTTTCTTCTTAGTGAGACTAACTTAAAATTCAAAATGGCACTCGAGGTAACACACAGATGTCTTCAGGAAGAAGGCGCGATGGCAGACTTTAATGGTTTGTACAGTTGTGTTCTTAAAACCATTTGGATGTGGCTCAAGCCGTTTACAGTACAAGTAAATAAAACGTGGGTGGGGACGGACGCATGGCCAGCAGTCCTTGTGACGCTGGAGTTAGAGGCTTCCTGGCTTTTGTCAGGAGGCAGCGTAAGCAAGCTGCACGAAGGAAACGGCCTGTCTGAAGATGAGACCTTTGCCGTGGATGAGCTGCAGCACTCTCAGAGGTGGCAGAGCCCTTTGTTAGTGCTTGCCTCTCTCTGTTCTTTGGAAAAAAGTGTGTTTGCTGTTGGGATTGGGTCTGCAAAATACCTTCTGTTGTTCTTTTCATGTTTATCGTTATGATCTAGCTGCTGTCTGCGCGTGTTGTGGAAACTTGAAGGGCAGGAATCCCTGCTCTTGCTGAGATCTGACACAGAGTTTTATCTCAAGCTGAATTTTTTAGTAATCCTGAAATTGCAAATGCTTAAAAAAAAAACCCACCCCAAACTTAAAGCAGAGTGACATGGAGAAGTACACAAGTAGGGGCTGTTCCTGGTTTCCTCCAGTGTGAGAACTGAGGAACGCGAAGTGAAATGAGCAACTGACGAATACAAAACAAACAGAAGGGAAATGCCTTTTCACACAACGTGTAGTTAAGCTAAAATTCACAGTTTGCCAGAGGATAGTGAGGATGTAAAAAATTTGTGCTTGCAAAGAACATCTCTTGAGCCAATTTCTATGGAAGGAGAGGCTGCCCACAGACATCTCTGGTTTGGGAACCTGTTGGCTGCAGCTCGCTGAAAGACTCGGCACGTGTTTCGGTGGCCTGCGCCTGGAATTTTACTCTTCCTTGCACGTCCACCAGTCGTGAGAGACAGGGCTCAGGGCTAGGGACAGCAGCGTTTTGACCTGCCACTGCCACTCTGTGCTCCTCTAGCAGCTCCTGTCGGCAGCTGTGCTGACATTTATGGGTTTCTATTTATTTCTGAAACAGAGTTCTCATAGTGGTCAGTGCAGCATGAGCCGAAGTTTGAAGATGGGTACAGAGATAAAACGTATATGATCAAGTGACCAGTCATAAAATGGGCAGTGGGAGTAGGGCAAGTCCTGAGAGTCAAAGTAAAAATGTCACTTCTTCAGCCGCGATGTCCCGGTACCTGCAGCAGTGCAGAGTGGCGACAGGCGTCTGTCGCAGTGTGCTGCGTGAAGGTTGTCGTCCCCTTGCGGGATCGTTGCCAGTCGGACTTCGATGGCAAAATGAATGGAACGCTACATTCATGCCAGAGTGTGAGATCGCTCTTGTAGGTAGGCCTTTGTTAAAACTGGAGAAATATTAAGAGAAAAGGTGAACAAGAAGCGCCCTATTCGGCAGTAAATGCTGTGTGTACTGGTCGCAGTGCAGAAATGCGTTCTTCCTGCTATTTCAGTGTGAAAGCAAAATACCACCCTAAGACACCATATTTAAAATATCAGCGGTACAGCACTGAATATTTTCCACCCTAAACTTCACATAAATTGTTTATTCTGAACACTTGTTTTCTCAAAAAAACAGCCCTGTGAAGTCAAACTGCTTCTGTGGTGGGTGGCATTTTTATTTAACTGCTGTATGTTGAACATACTCTGCTTCAAATTTTTTAGGTCTAATTGAATGTGAAGAACCTAATAACCGACTGGATAAGTTTGCAGGAACATTATTCTGGAGAAACACGAGTTATTCACTGGATGCTGATAAGATTTTATTACGTGGATGTAAAATCAGGAATACAGACTTCTGCCATGGAATGGTCATATTTGCAGGTATTTATGAATGGAATGTGTGAAATATTTGCCACCAAAAGCATGCCCTATAGAGTGAAATGACACCTTTGTCGTATAAACATCAACTTTTTTTTATTTCCCAATCTTGTAGAACAGTAATACTAGAGCTTGTTTGCCTATTGTGTATTTCCTTTTTTTTTTTCCTTTATTTTTAGGGGCTGATACAAAAATAATGAAAAATAGTGGAAAGACGAGATTTAAAAGGACAAAAATTGACTCCCTCATGAATTACATGGTTTATACTGTAAGCCTTTTTGTTTAAAATTCAGATGTTTGGGTTGATTTTAAAGTGACCGCAACTTTAGGAGACTTTTTTGTGCATGTAATAAGTATGTTTCCGCTGTTTTGCCCTGATGAGTTGGGATGAAGTAGGAGGAAACCTAAAAGGGTGCCTCGCTGTTGGTGGAACCTGTGACCCTAAACTGCAGGTGTAGGGCAGCCTCTGCGAGGCAGAGAAGCGCTTCAAACCCCGGGTGGCGGGTCCTTCTGCTCGTCGTCACTGAACTGCTGGACAGAGGCCTGAGGACCTCGGTGCAGAGGTCTGTTCCGCCTGAAAGGCTCAACACCCGCGGTCAGCCCCTGTGGGGTGTGTGAGCAACACCCGCTGTCCTACAGCCCGCACTCTGCGGAGCGTGGTTCCCTGGGACAGGCAGAGAGGAGAGAGGAGCTGGCCTGTGGGCGGGCAGAGGCACTTACCTCAGCGTGACTGCGGTTCTGCCTCTGCCCCGAGCTGTGCGCCTACCCTGTTCACTGCCCGCTTCAACAAACGTAAAAACATGACAGTGATGCTTGGGGAACAGGCTAAAACTACAGCCCAGATGATCCCAAGAGGCCATTTTACGGGGAAGGTTTGCTCCCCTCCTTGTTACGTGCAGGTACCTGTAATACTCTGTTTTGAACGTGGGGATTTGGGATTGAAGTCGAGCACATTTCTGAAGTGTCACGGGCCTCTCTGTGTGCACTGTAGATTTTTGTCGTCCTCATCCTGCTGTCGGCTGGCCTCGCCATTGGACACACTTACTGGGAGCAGCAGATTGGCAACTCGTCTTGGTACCTCTATGATGCACAAGACCTCAGTCCTCCGTATCGTGGCTTCCTTAACTTTTGGGGATATATCATTGTTCTGAACACCATGGTTCCCATTTCCCTCTATGTGAGGTGGGTAAATGCCTTGGCCTTTAATAGCGGAACTAGTGAATGACTTAACTTACGGATTAATGTTGAACGGACTTAATTTCCCGTTGGTGGTAACAAATGCAGCTTCACATTGGATGGGAAAGGGTATTAATTCTCTGTCTTACTGAAAAGACACTGGATGCACTCACCCTCTTCACCAAGATTTTACAAGAAAGTGGTCTGTATTGCTTTCATATAAAATCACCACTCGAGGCTCTTTGACTCAGAATATAAAGATATCAAGCTTTTCTTACAGTATTAAGCATATCTACTCTGTACTTCGACTAAGGAAAAAATTCTCCCAAGCAATGATCTCTGACAAAACTGGAGACTTGACCCTGCTAGTATTTAGCTTCTTGGCTGAATTCTGCAATCACAGTGCATGAAGGAAACTACTTGAAAATAAAAACGAAAATGGAAAAGTCGTATTTTCCAGATTTATTCTCAAAAGAGAGGCCTTACTGCTCCGTGGAGCGTGAATAGTTTTCCCTTGACAAAGCTGTCTGTAACATATTTGAAATCATCCAACCTCCTACCCACTCTTCTCCAAATTGTAGTTAAAATGCTGTTCCTGAGTGGGGTTTCGATTTGTTATGGGAGAAGCACCATTGATACTTTTGGCTCGATAAGGCTTTTCCTCTGTTACTGCGGTGGTGTTGAAGCTGAGCTGTGTGGTCTGACGTCAGTTTGAGTGGCCTGGGTAGGAGTGGTGGTGCTGTGTGGTGTGCTGGTAGGTGTAATGGTTTGTCTTAAGCTCCTGGGCTATATAAGCAGATTGAGTCCTGGAAAATAGTGAGTCTGCTGGACCTGACAATATGTCGTCATTTTGACATACGAGATGCAGCTAGGAGCAAGAAAATTAATTGTGTTTCATTTAGCGTTGAAGTGATTCGTTGGGGCCAAAGCTGCTTCATAAACTGGGACCTGCAAATGTATTACCCGGAGAAGGACACGGCCGCGAAGGCCAGAACCACCACGCTGAACGAGCAGCTGGGGCAGATCCACTACATCTTCTCTGATAAGACGGGAACGCTCACGCAGAACATCATGACATTTAAAAAGTGCTGCATAAACGGCCAAAGATACGGTAAGTCTGTGCCACGCGGCTGTGCCCCGTGGCGAAACCCACGGCGAGCACGGGAGCTCCGACTGTGACAGGAGCGCGGGGAAGGCCCTGCGAGCCCCTGGGTGGTGCCGCTGGCAGCCTCTGGGCAGTTGGCAGCGAGGAGGAAACATAAAGCTTGTTTGAAGTCGGGGACATACGAGTCTTCTGAGTTTCAAGTGAACTTCCATGATTTAGCCCCGGCATTGAGTAAAGCTCAATGAATTGTTGCAGTTTTCCCACTATTTTCCCTGTTAAAAAGTGGAAACTGAGGGACTTGAGTGGAAACTGCCCAGCAGAAAGTCAGAAATTAGAATTTACAGAATGCTTTACTTCTGGTAGAAATGCTTCAGGAACAAAATTAATCCAGGAACAAATAAGAAAACTTTAGAGCAGCAGCAGTTTTTCGTTTTAGTGTTAGTTACTTCCATTTCCAGTCTTGTCCATATTTCAGTATTTAGCATATGCAGCGTATGTGCTTCAAAGCTGCGGTTTGGTCGTCTCGGATGACGAAGAGTGCCGTGTGGTGATGCCGTGGGCTTTTTAAACATCCTGCCTCTGAAGAGAGAGGAGGAGTTTCTGGCAGTGAAAGCCGTGTTAAGCCAGCGTGGATGTTTTATGACAATTCCACCGCATGCTTTTTCCCTTGTCTCTGCTTTGGTGTTACTGGCATACAAAGGTGCTGCGGCTGTGAATGAATTTGCTTTTTTTAGAATCTGAGCTGTTCTAGTGCAGTAGATAGTCTATGTGTTTTTTACTTTCGTTATTCTGTCCTGTGCCTTCTAACGGATGGTGCTTGCGCTGCAGGAGACTGTCGGGATGGAGCAGGGCAGCTTCAGAGCCACCCAGAGGTAGGTTGGTTGCATCTGCCGCTGAAGCCCGTACAGCCTGTAGAACAGGGAATGTTCCCTTGCCAGAGTACGAGGAAATGCAGGTAGGCACAAAGCGGTTGCACATGAGTAACTCAAAGTCTCTCCTCTTCTCTTGTCTGAGCAGCAAGTGGATTTCAGCTGGAACCTGTATGCAGATGGAAAGTTCTCCTTCTATGATCACTATCTGATAGAGCAAATAAAATCTGGAAAGGAGCCAGAAATTCAAAAGTTCTTTTTTCTGCTTGCCATTTGTCACACAGTCATGGTTGAAACCTCTGATGGTATGTATGTGTGTTTTTTTTCTTGTGTAAGGGGAAATAGTAATTCAAATGCAGTTGCACAAGGGAGAGGTCCAAAACTAATGCAGATCCCGTAAGGGAGAAGGAGCGTTACGCTGCTCTTCTAAATTAAACAAAAGCGAGAGCTGACGCTATGCCTGTGCTGAGTTTATCTGACCTTCTGTGGAAGGAGGACAGTTACAGCTGTGGCAGATGCACTCTTGGATAACAGCGGATGTAGAAAGGCAGGGGATGAGTTTATACAGGTGTCTTGTGCTTCCATGTTATGGGTCTCCTCCCTGTTCAAAGACATCTTTAAGGTCTCCAAAGCGTACATTTCAAGTGCAGTGACAGTAACACTAGCGTAGCCTCTGGTTCCACGTGCCTATGTGAAAGTACAAACACACACATGAGTCACGTGTGTCTGTCCCAGGAGCGTGGGCAGCAAATAAGCAAACCGAACAGCAAAAATGTGACACAAACTACATTTAGGGGTGAACAGGTACTGAAAATTCATGAATGTGAAAAATAAGGTTGGAAGTGTCAGTTGAAATGTTGAAGAGAAATACTGCTTTACTTCCGTCTCTGCAAGGTCTCCAAAACCGTCAGTCTCCTGTCCTTTCTTTTCTTCCGACTAACGGTTTTGGGGTGGTTTCCACCTCATTGTGTTGGTGCCTGTGCCCAAGGATTTGTCGTTAGAAGCTTCCTTCAAAAAGGCTTAAATGAAAGCATCGAGAATTAAGATATTTAAGTTATGTTTGTTTTGAGACAGAGAAGTTATGGGGTTTGCTTTTATACTTGGAGGGAGGGATGGTTCAGCGACTACCCTGTTTGGAAGCACACGGATGGAAAGGTCCCTAGTCCCTCTCCTCTGGGCGTGCTGCTGTCGGGTGCTGCAGCAGTGTTACCGGCCCTCACTTCAGAAGGGGAAGGGGCTCTGCATGTCCAGCTCCCTTGCTCCAAAGACTGGGTGTGATTCTGTAGCTGTGGTGTCCGAGTGCCCCCGTAACGCGCCGGCATGTCCTGGCTCTCTCTCCTCGCTGTTCGCCGGTACAGGTCAGCTCAACTACCAAGCAGCTTCCCCAGACGAAGGGGCCCTGGTTACGGCAGCCAGAAACTTTGGCTACGTTTTTCTTTCGCGAACACAAAATACTATCACTATAAGTGAAATGGGGATTGAAAGAACCTACGATGTCCTCGCTATCTTGGATTTCAACAGTGATAGAAAGCGGATGTCCGTCATCGGTAAGCTGACTGCAACCAGCCCTTACAGAAAAGGTCACTTGTATTTCGTAGGTGAAAAAGTATGTGCAGGGGAAGTTGAAGTCAAGAATTACGGCTCTGTAACGCGCCGTCCTAGGGCAAATTTTAATCCACATAGCTCTGGATGGCAAAAGAGAGGCTTTGTAATTAGGTGTGAATGTGTCCAGTAGACAGTCCTGGTGTTCAGATGTGGCCTCTGCTGAAGACAATCTTGGGTGCCTTTAGTAGAAGCTTGAAGAAATGCTGCAAAGATGATTTATTCCCCTTTTTCCCCAGAGGACAAACAAGTTGTATGTTCCTCTAGCTACTGGAATACTAGGTATGCAGGTCGAGGTATAAAGAGCTCTTTAGTTTTGATTTTAACTGCCTTTAAAGAAGTCAGCCTGGAATCGGTTCAAGGTCTGTTGGTTTTAAGGGTATAGTTATGGTGCGTCGTAGCTCTAGCGTATGTCTCTGCCCAGCCCCTCTGCGCAAGCGGGGTGTTAATACTATATGGACCATTCTGACAAACATAACCCTCGGGAGTTTGGCTGTCCTCTTCTGTCACGACAGAGAAGAGGAAATGCACTTGTCAACCAAGTTCCTTCACTGAACAGTGTTACAGATGGAGAAAAATGATCTTGTAGTTTTGGTACTGAAAAGCAGTAGACTGAAAAATCCAATCTGAAACTATTCCTTTATTTAAATGTACTCTAACATTGTCCCACCTCTCATACTTTACTCCACAGTAAGAGAATCGGGTGGAAATATCAGGCTGTATTGTAAAGGGGCCGATACAGTGATTTATGAACGGTTGCACCCAAGGAATCTAAAGAGAGAAGCTACGGAAGAAGCACTAGATGTACGTTTGTATTTGATATGCCATTTTAAAATTAAAAATTGTTTATTTCTGACTATAATTTTATTAATTTCCTTTTCCTAAGCTATTGAAACAAATGCAGATCTATAATTGGTTCCACAGGTCATCCCAAACCTGAGAAATAGTCAAAGCAATATATTTTTTCATGCATGTTCTTCAAAATGCATCTATTGTCTTTTCATGAGAAGTGAACTTAAACCTTGTCCGCACGCTTTTCTCTCACAGTTAGCGGTATTGCAGGTCACTGCACTGTGTTCTGTCTGTCCCTTCTTCAGCCTTTCAGTTCGGACTGCCTTCCCAGCTGTAACTTCACTTTTGGCATTTCTGAAATACCCAGGACTAATTGCGCAGTCAGGCTTGTTTTATCAGACTTACCAAGTGCTGGTGATCTTAACTCTTCTGTCTGGATTGCAAATGCAGGAGTTTGTTTGTCAATATGTTTTTTATTATTATTATTATTTTTCAGATTTTTGCAAATGAAACTCTTAGGACACTCTGCTTGTGCTACAGAGACATTGGTCATGATGAATTTGAAGCATGGAATAAAAAGTTTGTGGAGGCCAGTGTAGCTACAGCTAATCGTGATGAAGCTCTGGACAAAGTGTATGAGGAAATAGAAAAAAACATGACTGTAAGTGAAGCTTTATGTTTTTTAGTGTACTTTTATTCTTTTATAAGAAGAAACAGATCTTTTTGAAAAGAAATTGTCCTTGTTTATTAGGACATCTTGATTTCGATCTTTTGAGTGTTTTACTGGCTTTAGAGCCATGCCAGATTTTAGAGTCTAATAGAATGAAGGGAAATGTATTTTAGTACCTGTATTTCAGGGTGGTCACTTCTATATGCAAGGGTTAGATTAGTCTTTACTGAATTCTTAGATTGAGCTGTACCTTGGCTTGAAGACATGCCCAGAGTAGTTTCCTACTCTACTGAAAATGAGCCGGTTTTCTATCCATGCTTATCCTACTGAATACCAGTACTTCACTTCTCTTCCAGCTGCTTGGCGCGACAGCTATTGAGGACAAACTGCAGGATGGAGTTCCCGAAACGATTTCCAGACTTTCAAAAGCAGACATTAAAATCTGGGTGCTTACTGGTGACAAAAAAGGTGGGTTTGGGTTTACTTACAGTCAAAGAGCAGGTGAAAACGGAGTAAGGGCTAGAAGGTGAACTGGGACAAATGCAGAGTTAGAAGTAAAGCATATGTTTCTAGAAAAGCTTAGTATGAAAGTCCATTTAAATCAAAACTGGAGGAATTTCTACAAGGTGCAGAATTTCATCCCAGCTGTTCCCAGTCCAGAGTTACTGGATGGGCTTCTGTGTGACTTCTGTTCCCCGAAGAGATTGGCCTGGATGACTGATTTTGTGACTGTCTTCTGTAGAGGAATATCCAGCTACTGCTTTTCCCAGTGCAAAGCAAATGCAGGACAACACTTGCAACAGCAGTACCTGAGGACAGGTACTAAAACTTGTCTTTTTACAGTGAAAACTTACTTTTCAAATATCATAAGTGCTGCTGCTGGAGACTGATTTGCTTTACTTTTGGAAGTTGCTAGTCTGCAGTTTGGCAACACGTTCTGTTAAGTCAATTCAAAAAATGGCATTAAATGTGTAAGTGGGAGCAGCTGTGCTACAGCCTGGGTGGAGGTGCAGCCAGACCAGCGCCTCGACGCTGGCCTTGGTTCAAGGAATCCAGAGCAAGGACAGGGCAAGGTGGCGTGGCCTGCCCTGTGGCTGGTTCTTGCGTTGCCTGTGGCGTAATGGCGCTCTGACGTGGAGGCAGCATCTCCACCATCAGGTTAAATAGGCCCTGGTAGATCTTTCTTCCACGAATTGGCTGATAGACTTTTCCAGGTCACTTTTCCAGGCCGCTAACAGCTTTTGTGCTCAAAACGTGTTGTGACGATGCATTCCACCGCAGCAATGGCCGTTTCGTAGGAAGTGTTGCATAGGAAACGTGGTTCCCTGTTGTTGACTTCAAATCCATCACCCACTGTGCCTTCATTGCCACGCGGTTGCTGTAGGACGCGTGATGAACGAGCATTCCCCCAGCTGCTGCTTGGTGCCGTGTGTGACTTTTTCTTTTTTTCCCTCCTGTCCATCCGCACCTGCAGTACTGAAAGGGAACTTCACACTGAAACATAACTTCAGAAATTACTTGAGGACTTCAGATACTTCTGGATGCTCCCAACAGTTACTGAGGACAAAAGTTTTAAGTAAATACTTTCCTGTTTCGGGTTTTTTTTTTTTTAATTACAGAAACTGCTGAAAATATTGGATTTTCTTGTGAACTCTTAACGGATGAAACAACAATCTGCTATGGAGAAGATACCAGGCAAGTGAAAAGCACAAAGGCTTTCTTTGGTGCGAATTAAAAAGGTTCCATTTTTAAAATTAACCCAGCAGTAACGTTGGTTTCTCCTGCAGTGACTCTGCAACGACTGAACAGTATTTCTTGGCAGCTGTTCAGCTGTACGTGCCGGTTTCTCTGCTTTTTACAGAACTGTAATTTTACAAGGCAAGCTCTTAGCTGTGGAGAAAGGTGGTGATACCCTGTTTGCAGGAGGTTATACATTCTAGTCAACAACCGTTGACATAAAATTTGTCCTGTAGTTCAGACAAGTCTGGAGCCCACGGGCGTGGGCTAAGCAGATCTCGCCCTAGTCCAGATCTTGAGCAGTGGACAGGTTTTACTCTCACTACCTTTCCCTGAAAAGCAGTAGACTGTCCCCGAACTCCAGCATTACCCCAGCTGGTCTTTCACCCTGTCTCACACTCGGGTCCGCAGCACAGCCCTATGCTGTAAAAACGCAGTGGGTCACGAGGTATTCAGCACTCAGTCACAAAGAATTCGTCAGAATGGTTAGACCCAAGGAACAGTAGCGTGGGACTGGGAGAAGAGCTGGAGCCTTTAACAGTGTCACAATTATTCCTGACTCGTTTTTCCGATTTCTTCCTTATTAGCCAACCAGTGTGATCCTCTTTTCACTGTTGCTCTAGCACCTAATACATGGCAAAAAAAGTCCTTGCAGCGTATATTGCATTTCTTTCTTCCAGATTTTCAGTCTGGGACTGATCTAGCTTGAAGTTTGTCCTTGATTTTTCTGTAATAGCATCCGCTTCTCTGTCCAGTGCTCTTCTTCAAACTAGGTTGGAAAACCAGAGGAACAGAGCTGGATCAAGTACACCTTCCTCTCTAAGAATGAACGAGCCGTTCTTCCAGGGTAGTAGAGATCGTGCCTTAATAATCACTGGCTCCTGGTTGGTATGTACAAAAGCTGTTCTCCTGTGTATTTGAGATTTTAAGGGTACCACCAAGTCACAGGGTCCTTCGCTGAGGACTCTGTTCGTTTGTCTCCTTTGCTAAATGAATCAATGAGAATTCTTTGGCCATCATGCTGCCAGTTGAACACATCTGTTTGATGTTTATGTCCAGAAGTGTTTTTTGGTTTGAAGGTTGAAAATAGTGCTTAATAAAATAAGGAATGTCTTGGGCCTTTCAAATCACCCTGGTAGCTGCCATCAAAGTAAAGCCAAGCCCCCACAAAAGCGCAGTCTGATTTTTCAGAGTATTTATTCTTCATGGGGATTCCAGTCTAATAGGAAAAAAAAAAAAGAGAGAGAGAGAGAGAGATGACTGCCAGCATTACAGGATGCATGGCTTCAGTATAGGCACAGAAATCACACTTGGCATGAGAGATGGGAGTGAAAGGGTAGAATTAAAAGACATTTCCTGCTCAGTCCTGCAATATAGTGCTCTCACGGGAGCTCAGAAAGCAGAAAAGAGCTTTCAGCAGGGAAGTGCCTGGCAGTAATTCAGGGACTATTGCCCACCCTGTTGGCAGGCTGCTCTTGCAGGCACCTGGAAAGGAGAGAGTCCAGCGAACAGCTAAGGACTGTCTGCCGTGTCTCAGCATTCCAGCTCTGAACCTTTACTCTGTATAAGGAAATATACATCCGTGCGTGAGGCACGAAAGCAGGCTGGGGATGCCTGAAGGTCATCTGGCAGGAGCATCAGACAGAATTGCAGATCTCTGTTACTGCCTACTCCAGCCGAACTGCCCCAGAGCTAGGCCGGGTGTTTATCGGACACTTCCACACGTGTTGGGCATAGTTGTGCTTCCTTTAGGAGAGGGGGAAGCTTAAATACCAGAATATTTTCAAAAGTTAATTAGTTCTATCCAAAGAAATATTCCTTGGAACTCTGGAAGAAGTGCTGTGACACTAAATGCAAATGTTTTGCTGTCGTTAATCCCACCAAGTGCATTCTTTTCATTGTTTCCGTAGCTCTTTGTTCACTCCTCTGCACGAGCGTTTTATTAAAATGCTATAAAGGGTGACGGGAGCATAATGAAGTTCAGGTGTTGTATAGGCAGTACTTGCAGAGTGATTTGAAATAGTGTGAAGGGAACATAATGTGTTTTTGTTATGCAGAATGAAATCCTGCTAGAGAAGAAAAAGAAGAAAAAGAAACTTAAACTGAAATTCCCTAGAACAGTGGAAGAGGAAAAAAAGCAAGCCGAGAAGAGAAGAAGGGCTGAAGCTTACAAAGAGCAGCAGCAGAAGAACTTTGTTGACTTGGCCTGCGAGTGCAGGGCTGTGATCTGCTGTCGTGTGACGCCCAAGCAGAAAGCCATGGTGGTCGAGCTCGTGAAGAAATACAAGAAAGCCATTACTCTGGCTATTGGGGACGGTGCCAATGATGTAAACATGATTAAAAGTAAGGCAGCTGTAAAACTTCTCTCGGTAGGAAAGCTCTCTTCTGGGCGTTCTTCTGCAGTCTCTTCACTATTCCCCTTTGTTCAGAAGATTCTACCATCTATTTCATTGCCCACGTTAACAGCACTCGGGCTTTGTTAGCTTCTATGCCGGTGCTTTCCCGTTTTGAGGAAGCCCTTTATGAAATGGTTAGTGGTTTTTGCTGATGTATTTTAGCTTTTTCTGTAGACATTCCCTGGGAAGGGACTTGAATGACATCTGTTATCATGTGGGTTGCAAAAGTGTAGTGTAAAGGACAAAGCAGTAGCTTAGCTGCCCCTTGCTTGGAGGATGCTCCCACTGAGAAGGAAACTCCTGGGAGATGGTTTATGTTACAGGTGTGTTTGTAAACCGCCTGGCCAGTTCGTTCAGGGGTTTGCTTGCTCTGTCCCATCGCTTGGCTCTCCCATGGTCACATTTCCCAGCATCCGATCTGCTGGAACAAGCCCTGAGAGATAATCCAAGCAACGATGGAGATGTGAGCAGTAAACAACAGGGCAGGGAAGGGGTTATGCTGTTGTGCTTGTCTTTAGTGCAGCCCCTGTGCTGTATGCAGAAGTGAAATGGGGCAGAAGAACCTGAAGGAGAGAATGGGAACCGCTAGATTTGCCTTCGGTCACGTTGTGCCTCTCCTGTTGCTAAACATAGTGTGTGGTGTTTGTCTCGTTGACTTAGCTGCTCACATCGGAGTTGGAATCAGTGGCCAAGAAGGGATGCAAGCTGTCATGTCAAGTGACTACTCCTTTGGGCAGTTCCGCTACCTCCAAAGACTGCTGCTGGTCCACGGCCGATGGTCTTACATTCGGATGTGCAAGTTTTTAAGATATTTTTTCTACAAAAACTTTGCTTTTACACTAGTCCACATCTGGTATTCATTCTTTAATGGCTTTTCTGCCCAGGTAAGAAGGCACGCTCGTGTGTGGTATTAACAAGCAGGTCTTCCTTTTTGTCAGTGTAGAATAGTGAAGGCTTAACCTGGGAAGGGGTGGGAGCCTGAAGTTGTCGTCAGTAATTTCTGCAAGAGTGTAGGTGATAACTACTAAGCTGGCTGGTTACAAGCTACGCAGTTGGTTATGATTGCAGAGCACCAACATGTGTATCGTGACTGCACAGGGAGGAAGAGGTTGTTACGTAGTGCTCTGGAAAACCTTTCCCAACCCTGCTACCTGAGGTGTTCCCAGTGAAGTGGGACGGTGCATGTGTGTAGTGGTAGGAAACCAAACCTGAGATTTTTTTACCTTGAACTGCTGGCTAGAATGGCTTGAAATGTGCTTGTTGTAACTGCAGTGTTTGAAGTTCATCCAGTGTTGAAAGGCCTTCAGGAGTTGAGGTGCATCTCCATGGGCATACCCAGAAGCCAGGCAGACGCCATTGCATGGACCAGCGTGGAGGGTCAGGGCCGTGGTCACAGACAAGCAGCTCTGCCTGAGGTTAATGCTGTTTGCTGTGATGGATGCCTAGGACAGCAAAAGAAGAACATGAAAAGAAACCAGGGTTCCCAGGGTTGCACATGAGATGCCAAGTGCTTGTCACAGCCACAAGTGCAGCTGTGAACCAGCCTGGCACTTGGTGTGAGGTGTTGGTAGTGTTCCAGGTCGGGTGACGCCAGGGGTTTGTGAGGAGTGGGGCAGCTTCATACAGGCTGAAAATAGTTTCAGCAGGGCTTTGAGCTAAGGTGCTGCTTGCCTTTTGCGAAAACACCAGGCATTGGAAGGAAAAGGTGTAATCCGAAAGAAATCATTAACCACTGAACTTCTTCCTCTTCTTGCAGACAGCATATGAAGACTGGTTCATCACGCTGTACAACGTACTGTATTCTAGTCTCCCGGTTCTGCTAGTTGGCCTGCTTGACCAGGTATTCTCCAGGTTGTTAACAGCAGATGAATCCAAAGGCATCTGACATCAAGTCTTTAATTACACTGAAACTGGTTGCTTTGTTTTTTTCCAAGCATTTGAGGGGTTGGTTTTGGTTTTTGGCTTTTGAAAATGTATTCCTCTTCCCAGTGTGTGAGGTAACGAGACAATGAGCAGAGGGTTACTGAAGTAGCCAAAGTCAGTCAGGTCGGATGTCTCCAGTGCTAATAATGTTTGTTACAAACACTTCGAAGTGCCCACTGTGCCCTGACATCATTCACACGGCACAGCGACGGGCAGCTTTGTTAATGGAAAAGGTGCTCCTTGCTCACCCTTCTGAGCTGAAGACGGAGGGACTGAGCAATTCTGGATGACTGTGTGTGAGAGGAGGTCTTGGTGTGTAGCGTTTGTTTTAACTGAGTGGGACAAGTGCTTTTGGCTCTCTCCATTTGCTTTTCTATACAAGGCTTCCCTGCTGATGAGGCAAATCAATGTTTCTGCTTTCTTTTGTGACGAAAGATGAGAAATATGTTGAGTACCAGATTAAGATCTCACTTGAGTATTTGTTAGAGACTTAAAGTCGGGACATGCAG